AGAGAGAGGGGTTCCCACTGAGCCCAAGAGAGAGGGGTTCCCACTGAGCCCAAGACAGGAAAGAAGAGAGAGGGAGGGAGAGGTTCCCACTGAGCGCAAGAGAGAGGGGAGTTAGAGGGGTTCCCACTGAGCCCGAGAGAGAAAAGACACCCACTGAGTCTAAGAGAAAAGGGAGAGAGAGAGAGAGGAGCGATGCCCACTAATCCCAGGAGAGAGAGACAGGACAGGTGTCCCCTGAGCCCAAGAGAGCGCGACAGGAAACTGATAAGCAGGGGGGGCGAAACAGGAGCAGGCTGTACCTGGCCGTGTGGGAAGTCCTCTGTCAGCGGGGGCAGGACGGACATCAACAGGCTCGACTGAGAGAGAGGGGGGGAGGGGGATCAGACAGGTTAGTTAAGCGTGCTGAAGAGCAGCAGGGAAGGCAGCGAGTATTTATGCAAAGAGCTGAAAGCGTTGTACAATGGGCTCTGGAAACACAGCGCTGCTCACAATGAAACCTGGACTGTCACATTGTCACGGGACACACCGAGAGACAAGGGCAGCATGCCAGATGAGGGTTCAAAAACGGTGAGTTCAACCCGCACTCACACAGACCTGGACCCTAGTGGTCCAATCGCTCACCAGCCTGCAGGGTACTTACCCTGGTTCTGGGTGTTGGCAGGTCCAAAGCCAGCAGGGTGGATGTAGCCCAGGCCCTCGCGCCCGATGCCCCCTTCCTCGGGGGGCAGCAGGTCCAGGGGGGAGGTGCTGATGGACAGCGAGGGCATCAGGGCGTCGTTCCCGTAGCTCACCCGGCCCTCGCTCTGCAGGGAGGACAGCTGCTCCGCCACCTCCACCTGCTCCTTCTGGACCAGGTCGTCTGAGAGCGGGGCAGGGAGGAGAGACCGGGGAGAGGGCCGGGGCAGCGACAGGAAGAGGGGAGGTCACACGCCGGTGCCGAAAACGGTAGGAAGGGGCGATTCCATGGGAAATGAAAGAAGGACGGTAATCAATTGGATGCCTCTATACAGCAATTTTCACTGCAGGGTGCTTTAAATTTAGGAGGAGACCCACGTCACTAAATTTAACACTAAGAGTCTGATTTAATGTGTAATCTGAAGCACAGCACTCTATATCACCATACAGGGTAGAGGTTTGGAAATCCTGGTCCAGAGGGGAGATCGCCACCTACTGGTCCACCAATATCACTTACAGCAGCAATCTACTTTTCCTTAATGGTCTCCCATCCTAGTACCGACCAGGTGCAGCCTTGCCTGGCATCTGAGATCCGACAAGCTGAGGCTATAGCAGGTAAAGCTGCTATTTTCTGCTAGAGATCCATTTTGCAGCAGGTTTGGCAATGCAATCATGCGTGTACGACAGGAATACACGAGAGAGAGAGAGAGATCTAGTCAGATGGAGGGAAAGGCCCAGACAGGGAGAGGGCGAGAGGAAGAGATGAGGACGGGAAGAGATCTAGATAAGAAGAGTGCGAAATCTGGCCGAAGAGAGCTGAAGGCAGAGGACAAGAGTGCGCAGACTCACCCACTTGCTCCTGGATGTCCTCTGCAATGCCCGGCACCTTGTACAGCAGCCCCAGGCTCTGGTTCATCCTCTCCTCGATCACCCGCAGGTGAGTCAGCACCTGCAGCCAGCCCGGGGGGGGGCAGAGACAGACCGTCAGGCAGAGGGAACCCGAGTCCCCTCGACTCGGCGCTAAAGCCTGGCTTAGACTGTAGCTGAGGACATCACAACAGGAGAGGCACAGCGACAGCGTGGTCGAGGGGTTAAGGCGATGGGACTGCTAATCCATAGCGCTCTGCCCGCATGGGTTCGAATCCCATCCCCTTCGTTGACCACAACTTCCTATTGGGCGGAGCGGTGGCTCTGTGGCTAAGGATCTGCGCCCATGGCTAGAAGGTTGCTGGTTCAAATCCTGCGGCCAGCAGAGGAACCCTACTCTGTTGGGCCCCTTAACCCCAGCTGCTACAGGGACGCCGAATAAATGGCTGACCCTGCACTCTGACCTGACCCCAAGCTTCTCTCTCCCTGCCTGTGTGTCTCATGGAGAATAAGCTGGGGTGTGCGAAAAGACAAATTCCTAATACAAGAAATTGTATAGGGCTAATAAAAGATCTGATCTTATCACTTTTCTTGTATCTTTTAGATTAGCTCTGTGAAGGGGGGCGTAACTTTCCTTTCCTACAGGTCAACAAGTGGGGGAAGATGCTTGTGTTAAATGTGTCAGACCCAGCCCAAGCCTATATGAATGGAGGGGGGTGTGACTGGAAGACAGACTGCTACTGCACAGCCATGAAAACGACCCGAGGGAGAAACTGGCGGGGAGAGGGCCAAGTACCTGGGGTCTGATCTGTGCAGCCTTCTTGGGATCCACCATGCGGACGTGCTCGAAGTGCTTCAGAGTGTGCTGTCTGTCCTTCTGCTCGGCCCGCACGTACTTCTTCAACAGGCTGAACACGTGGCGTGGCTGGGGGGGGGGGGGGGGGGAGGGAGGAGAGAGCGTGGTGAGAGCACGCGGGGGGGGGGGCGGGACAGACCTGCGGGCGCCCCTCAGAGGGCCGGCCCAGCGTCGGCGCGGCTACCTTGGGCGGGTTGGCCTGCAGGGCGGTGAGGTAGTTCTCCAGGGCCAGCCGGCGCCGGTCGTTCAGCAGGGCCTCCACCCGGGCCATGTGCGTCTCCACCAGCTGCTGGCGCTCGCTAGCCGCCTCCTGCTCCAGGGACTCCACCTTCTCCTGGAAATGCTGAGGGGGCGAGACGTGGGGAGGGAGGGGCGGTGAAGAAGACCACCACACCCCAACGCTCTTGGGATCAAAGCCCCCAAGTCCTTTACGAAGCTCAGTTAAAGAAAACACCGGCGAGCACAGGAGTCTCGAGAAGCTCTCATGTACGGTACGAGGAAAGTCTGGGTATAGAGGAAGGTGTGAGCAGCACAAGTGAGAACAGTGTGCAAGTCATGTGAGCACAGTAAAATGTGAGTAAAAAATGAGTATATTGGAAGCACAGAGTGCAGTCTGAGTACAGCAGTGGGACGGGCAGTATTTATAGTGAGTTCAGGTGGGCAGCTGCGTCAGCATGTGTAGGCTGCAAAGGAACAAGTAATAGGTTTATCCCATGTTGAAAAGAGAAGAAAGAAAACAACATTTCGGCCGTGGAGCCTTCTTCAGCTGTGGCCTTCACACCTGAAGAAGGCTCCATGGCTGAAACGCTGTGTTTTCTTTCTTCTCTTTTCAGCATGGACTAAACTTGTTCCTTTACAGTGTGAGTACAGCTCAGGTGCGGTCTGTTTAGCGCAGCTGTAGTCAAGTCCAGGCTTCACAACAGCATCAGACATGATTCCATAGCAACAAGCCGTCAGTGGGCAGATGAGCCCCTTGAGATGGGATGCTTCACCCCACGCAGGGGTACGCCTCAGCAATGCTTTACCCGTTTATAAGGCTGGGGGGACTGGAGCAGCCGGGGGTAAATTTTGCTGAAGGGGACACGGGCAGTGGCAGTACTGAGCAACCAGGACTCAGTGCTCCGCCCAGCAGGCGGAGAGAGAGAGAGAGAGAGGTGCACTGTGTACAGTGCCAACACAGAGCGAGTCTCACCTGGATGACCGCTTTCTTGTCGGCCCTGGGCAGATTCTTGGCCTGTCGCTCAGCCTCCTCCCACTCCCGCATCACCTGGAGGGCACAGAGAGGACGAGAGCTATAGAAAGCACAGTGGGGGGGGGACACAAATTGTAACACTCACCACAACCCCCCCCCCACACAGATATCCCCCCTCTCGGACCTGTGACATCCTCTCCCTGTGTTTGGCCTCCAGGCTCTCTTTGGCCTTCTGGAAGTGGGCGTGTTCGTTCTCATCGCCAGGGGTCTCCAGGTAACGGTCCACTGCATCTGGTGGGCTGGGGGCAGTAGTGGGAACTGTGAGTGGGCAAGAGGGAAGAGGAACAGATGAGTTCATTCAATTAAGGTTTTCCAATAAGGTCTCCCTCAGCTCTAACCACTAGCCCACACTGCCTCCCTCTCTCTCTCTCCTTCCCAGTGCCTCAGCTCTAACCACTGGCCCACACTGCCTCCCTCTATCTCTCTCCTTCCCAGTGCCTCAGCTCTAACCACTAGCCCACACTGCCTCCCTCTCTCTCTCCCCCCAGTGCCTCAGCTCTAACCACTAGCCCACACTGCCTCCCTCTCTCTCTCCCCCCAGTTCCTCAGCTCTAACCACTAGCCCACACTGCCTCCCTCTCTCTCTCTCCTTCCCAGTGCCTCAGCTCTAACCACTAGCCCACACTGCCTCCCCCTCTCTCTCTCCCTCAGTTCCTCAGCTCTAACCACAGACAGTCAGAGGATCACAGCCCAGCTATTAGTAGGCTACCTCTCGCAAATTAGAAACAAACAAGTGGCTTCAGAATCATGCAACAGATTGTTAGTGCAGCAGACTGGTTAAACTTTCTGGGTTGGGGGCCTGTGTGTTTTGAGAGGTTGGTGAAGTGGTGTAACTCTGGCTGAATACTGAAGGCAGTGAAGAAGGGTAACTGCCCTCCGATATCCCCTGTTGACTGGCCCACTACAGCAACGTGCATGTATATTCATGTCTAGCTGAGTGTCCAGAACAGCTCACTTTATAGAGAAGCCACTTCTGCGGTACTAGTTCACAAAAAAACTGAAGAGTTTCAATGCAATACTGAGTCAACTCACTGCACGCCTGATGCAACTGCAGATAATTGATCCCACACTATTCCGCACTGCACACATTGGAAATGATACTGGGGAACTAAGAAAATTACATTTCCCATACTTGGAAACATGGCCTTCACAGCAGGCATCCCAAGTGTATAATGTACCTAATTTCTGCACCACCCGTGTTCAAAATTCATCAGGCTTCTGTCGCTTCTGCGACAGCTTTAATTGAGAATGAGGAGGACTAATTAGAAGCTGCTGGTGGTACAGAAGTGTAGCATATGAGCACAACGATAAGCCCACATGACTAGTCACCCCGGAGTATTTCATATATGTCAGATATAACAGGTGCTGATGCTGGACTGACATTCATTTCCTTCATGGGAGAGCGACTGGTGCACAATGCCAGTGAAGATGAGGATGACTGAACCTGTCCTGTCTCTATGTTGCCTTCAAGCGCCAGAGGGAGCGATCTGAGCAGCTACAGCCTTCCGCCTCTCCAGCCCAGCTCAGGCCAGATCCCAGGCTGTGGAGAGTCATCAAACTAGGGGCAGTGTAGTGGCTCTGTGGTTAAGGATCACCGCGTGCGGCTAGAAGGTTGCTGGTTCGTGTTCCACGGCTGGCAGAGGAATCCTACTCCGTTGGGCCCCTAAGAAAGGCCCTTAACTCCAACTGCTCCAGGGGTGCTGTATAAACAGCAGACCCTGCGCTCTGACCCCAGGCTTCTCTCCCTGTCTGTGCGGCTCATGGAGAGCAAGTTGGGGTAAGTGAAAAAGAAACTCCTAAAACAAGAAATTGCATATGGCCAATAAAGCGATCTTATCAGAAAGCGGGACAGGGACCCACAGCCACGTCTCCCCACGCATCGTGGCACTTTTCCATACGGGTTCCAGAGAAAGAAAAAAAAATGCTAAGTCTCGCCTTGCTTGTTCGCTTGTTTTGGAGAATTTGCAGTGGTGTGCGATGACCCCACCCCCAGCCCAGCGACCCAGAGACACGACGCGGCTACACACTACAGACAGCGGGGCGAGAGAGGACTGAGCGCAGCAGGTCAGGACACAGACACACATACACGCACGCGCGCGCACATGCAGGGCGCCCATGGCCAGTTAATTCACACGCGGACCCCGGCACACGGACAGGACTGAGGGGCCCGCAGCCGGTTAGTGACACAGCAGAGCGCCCGGTGACACAGGGGCCGCGCCGCCCCCACCCCCACACCCCAGGGAGAGGGGGGGCAGAGAGAGGGCAGCGCTCCGGCGCCCCCGGCTCAGCGAACTTACGCACGCTGCCGCACACGGACAGGCAGTAGTCCTCCGACTCGAAGTTGTTGCGGTTGCCGCCGCAGCCCCCGTAGATGAACTGCGCGCAGCGGCCCTCGCTGCTGTCGAAGTACCAGCGCGGCAGCATGGCGCGGCACGGGCCCGTCTCCGCCTCCTCCGAGCACACCTCTGCCAGGGGGGGGGAGGAGGGGGACAGACAGGCTGAGACTCCCTGCGCAGGCCGTGGGACAGGACGGGAAATTCTCCCGGCTGCTCCTGGAGACCTTCGGCTCTCCTCGTTGGGGGGGGCGTCTGTCACCCCTCTTCCGCTAAGTACCGCATCGCCACGGTGCCACCCGGGGCAGGGCAAGAGCGCTCTGCGCGCCACGAGACACCGGGGGTTGTGATGTGAAAACACGCTTTTGTCTGTACGGCCCCCTGTGCTGCTCATCAAGGTCAACCTTTCAATTTCCATCTAGATTAGGACTTCTCCCTCATATGACAACAAATCCACTGTGAACTGGAGAACGAGAAGACCAGAATCTGGAAATACTCACTCGTCCTTCCTCTTCCTCTCTTTTCCCACACTGCACTTTGGGAATGTCATCAGGCAGGCAGCTCAGCCGGACTAACTGCTCCAGGCCTGTCAGAGTCTGCTGAGGGTGTCGTACTCACACTGACAGCAGACCTGTCACCCCACACCTCCCCCACAATTAACCAATAGGAAGCTCTCCTGCACAATCTCATTTGGTTTACTTCCTGTTTTTCATTTTCAGCTTACCTCGGACTACTTCCTCTACTGACTCGGTGGTTGTGGTGGTGGTGGTGGTCATGGCGACATTGGTGGTGCGTTCACTGGCCTCGGGCTCCTCGATGTCATCTTCATCGTCGTCTACATTCTCTTCATCGTTGACGTCCTCGTCATCCTCCCCTAGGGCGGTCTCCGCCTCCTCCCTATCCCCTGGCCCTGCCTCCTGGGGCTCACTGACAGAGAGAGAGAGAGAATGCTACAGAACCCTAAACAGACAATACACAATAGCCGAATATTTGACCAAGATAAGAAACAGCAAGAAGAAACAGACCCTGAAGACCCTCAGTGACCAAAGCCTGGCCATAGAAACTGGACGACACAGACAGACTTGGCTGCCCGGAGAGGACAGGCTGTGCTCCCACTGCCAGTGGGGAGAAATAGAGACAGAGGTGCACTTCCTACTGCACTGTGACAGATACTCTGGGATTAGAGAAACATTCTTCCCTAAATTCAGAAATCTAATCCCAGAGTTCCCACACCTGCCAGAATCACAACGGGTCTCAATCCTACTGGGAAAGGGAGGAGGGAACTCAGTTGAACTGGCAGCCCAGTATGTGATCTCCTGTCACAGCCTGAGGAACAGTGAGTCTGTCTCCCAATAATGCTCCATATGTTTATGGTATATCTAAATATTTTATGATATGTCTTTGTTGTAAATGTCTGTAATATATCTGTAGATTTTATTTTTTGTTTTGTTCCATGTTAATTGTATTATTTTTATTTGCTTTGGCAACACTGATTGTACCCATTGGTCATGCTAATAAAGCACCCTGAATTGAAATTGAATTGAATTGAGAGAGAGAGAGAGAACGAGGCGGGAGAGGGAAATTAGCAGCCGGGACGGGGCTGGTGTAGCAGCGGCCGACAGGATCGGGGGCGCGACAGTACCTGTTGTCGGTGTAGTCCGCGTCGGCGCCGCCCCACCACACGTCAGAGTCGTCCTCCTCCAACTGGGCGCTGTCGTCCCGCTCCGCCTCCGAGGGGCAGCACACAAACTCGACGCCGCGGAAACGGTCTATGCCGCACGGCAACAGCATCCCGTAGTCATGGAGGTTCATGGAGCGATCGCCACAGGACTGCGCGGTGAGAGAGAGAGGAAGAGGAGGGGGAAGATGGAGAAGAGGTGAACGATCTGATAGAGAGCCGGTACGATGTAGGCCACTGCACTGCGCGTCTACTGATTGCGGTACTGCGCGGCTCGGTGTCCTCACCTCCTTGGCCACTGTGTGCCAGTGCAGGTGGCTCTCACACATGTCCATACGCTCTTGGTGCAGGAACTTACACTTGTCTGGGACCAGTAAAGCATCGCTCACAAACTCCCCCACTGCAGAATCAAAACACAGAGTCAGACGCGGGCACGCTGTGAATGCAGAGCCAGACAAAAGAAAACAGCGAGTACACAATCAAAAAGGCTGATACTGCAAACGCAGACATTAACAATGCCGGCTACCAGACAATAGAGGCTGGTAGTACTGAGACAGATTAACAGCACAAAACAACTCGCACCGAAAAATAACAAAGAAGACGGGTTAATACTATGCACACAATTTCAGACAGATACAAACGTACAGGTTAAGAGTATACAAAGACAAATAGTTTCAAAATACACCTACACTGATGAGCTTTGACTGCTCACACAATCAGGCAAGTTAGAGGTTTTACAATTCCCTAAAACCCCTCCGTCAGCTCTCTTGCTAGGTTCCCAACTGATGACCCAGCTGAGCATGTTTTTTAGATCTTCATAAACACAAAAGATCTCTGACAGACCGATTGCTAAACTTGGACGCACAACAATCCCCATTCAGAGCTCATCTGCCTTTGTAGTGGCCATGTACAATTCTGTCACTCATTACTGCAATGTCTATAATCTATGCCCCATTATCATGGGGCAAATTAGCATTTGTGTTTAAAGTAAAGGATGCCTTTGAACCCATTACAGTGGAGCAATCCAACTGGAGCTCCTGGCTCAAGGCTACAACAGCACAGTCCCCATCTGGGACTGGATCGACAAGCTTCCAGATTTGTGGCAAGACCTCTGCCCTGCTGAGGTGTCTGCTGTGACATCTGCAGGCTGGGTGGCAATGACAATCCAGCCCAACCTGATCCGCACAGACAGGCTGAACCTGTGTCCCCGACCCTGATCCATACCCAGGCAGCGGTAGGGCACCACGATGTGCAGGTGGCTGCGGCACTGCTTGCGGCCTTTCTTGCACCAGTTCTGGATGCTGACGGGCTGGTTGGCTTCCACTACGTTGGTGATCTGGAGCTCTGGGTACACCTGGAGAGAGGGGCAGACAGTGAAGTCAGGAAGGGAGGTGGAGGTATGGAGGTCGTGTGTGTGTGTGTGTGTACGTGTGTGCGCCTCTCGTGCTCTCTTTCTGCCAGTATTGTGGGATGCTCTCCACTCTCGGGATTCCTTACCTCCTGGCAGTACTGCAGGATGCCCTCCTTGGTGCCAATGCAGCTCTTGGTGCCACTGGGGTCTGGCTCCCACTTGCCTGTCTGCACATTGATGTGCATGTTGAGTTTCCCACAGAACATGGCCACCTGGGGCTCGGCAAGGAGGCCCACTGAGCCATCCGTGGGCACCTGGGAGGGAGAGGGAGAGAGAAAAAGTCCCATTAGACGTGCTATGAGGTGTACGCCACTTCTCAGTGAAGATCTTGTCATGGAGAGTATCCTGATTCTGGAGAACCACAGGGCTCTCTTGTTGATAGTCCCTCCATCCATGTTATAAGCACTTTATCCAATTCAGGGTCTCAGGGGAGCTGAAGCCTACCTGGGCAAACAATGGGCACAAGGCAGGGTGCACCCTGAACAGGACACCAGTCTATTGCAAGACCACTCATACCTGGGCCAGTATTACCAGAAGCCAATTAACCTACAAGTATGGCTTTGGACTGTGGGAGGAAATGTGGCGGACACTCTAGTGAATACAGAGAGAACATGCAAACTCCACACAGACAGCACCTCAGGAACTGAACCCAGGGCCCCAGTTCTGCAAGACAGAAGCTATCCACCACCGAGCTGCCAGTTTTTAGTCCGCTCGTGCTCTTTTTGATTGGTCTTCATCACAGCAGCTTCCAAGTAGTGCACTCAGCAGGTCCGCATCTTGTCTAAGACCTGCCAGACTGCGCCACTCCAGGTACAGGGGTGAAGATCACCGCTCTTATTGGTGAAACGACTCACTGGGCCGTTCTGCGGCTGTCAGCAAATGGCACGGTGCCACAGCAGGCTCGAACCTGACCCCGGGGCTCCCCCCTGTTCTCTTCTGCTATGATTTACAAGAGGCAGCACAGTGCCGCAGCACAGACACACAACAACAGTTGAAACGCCGTGAGCTTTGCTACTGTAAATTGTCCGTTGTTTTATTTATTTTTTTAATTTCCAAGCCTTTATTTGCCCCGTGATCTTGGTCGTAGTTTGTGCGTCACTCCCTCCCTTGACCTGCACCGAGCTTCACGAGAGATAAGCATTCTTTCGCAGACACTGCTGTTATGTGTTAGTACTCTCATGTGCATAAACAAACTACAGTAGTTACTATTCCAAGTGCTGAATAGTGAAAATATTAATATTAGGTGCTTCAGAAAACTATTAACAGGGTCATCGTGATTCGTGCCATTTGGACAAACGCACTTTGCTACAGCGGCTCTGCGTCTGCTGTTTACAATGGCACAGGGTGCGACGCAGCTTCAAAAGTGTGCCAAGAGCACGCTGACCTTGGCACAAAGAGACGATGTAAAAAGCAGCCCGCAAACCCTGATCCGCGTCTGTGGGAGGCGAACAGAAAAGCTGGAGAAGTTCCACAGTTCAGCCTGGAAACGCCGTACCAGGGCCAAGAAGGACTAGAAGCTGGGAAGTGGCAGAATGGAACGAGCTGGCTGACCCAGGGGCCCCCTACTGTGTCTCCTAGATTGAAGTCAGCGCGGGTCGTTAAATTCCTCAGGAACGGGAGCTTTAAATGCCTGAAATGATCGTCTAGGTGGTGTGCTGAGCAGCCCCGAGCCATACCCTGAGCTCGACTCCCGTGTACAACCCATTAAAGACCACCGTCTAATCCAATCAATCCAATCTAACCAGCTACAGCACGGCACACACAGGAGGACATGTAGGGAGGAGGGCGTCAGCTTTCTTGGCCACCGGAGACATTTCCACGGTCACCTCCGCACAGATCTGTACCCGTGCGACGGAGGAGGGAGAGACGACCTGACTTTGAAGCGACGTTCCAATTTAAAGACGCGCGGCTCTCTGCAACTTACTACACCATTTTTTTTTCTCTAAGCGGGCAGGGCTTTATAGGAGTGTAACCAGTCTGATGACGATAAAGTGCACACAGATCAGTTTAAATTCTGCTAAATATGGTGGATTTATTGCTGTTAATGTGCGGGCCTCACCATATGTTTCAATTCAGACGAGAAGAGTACATACGGTTTACTAAAGGCGTGATTTAGGCCTATTATGTCAATAGGAAAATTGCTTTGAATAGTTTTCTGTTCTATTTCACCTGTACAAGTTAACATGAGTCATGTTAGGAAGTAGTTTTCTTACTATCATTATTGTTCTAGGTGGGAAAGTCGCAGGCAGACGAAACAATACATTGAACACAAAACAAACCCTTTAACAAATAAGAAAAACACGTGCCTCAGACAAAACGGCAAAAATAACTCCTGAGGGAAGGAGCTCAACTTCCCTGTGCGAGACGTGGCCGTGAGAATCGATGACGCTGGACTTCCAAACTTCCTTTGCTATGGATGTCTGCCAGCTGTAGCCCTTGTGCTCAGATAGCTATGAAGGTGATAGCTGCAGCAGGCTTCGCTGTCTGTTTGTATCGCAGGTATTCAGGTGACCAAACCAGGCCGCTACAGTTTCTGTAGCGTGTTTAAAATCCGCAGAGCAGCAGAGTGCCAGGTTGACATACTGATTGAGGGTGGGCTTTGTCATCTTTGGTTTTATGTTTCATTGATCGGGTTGAAAATGCAGAGGGGGTATTTACCAAGACCTTCATGCATTATTCCAGAGCGGGCCGGGAGCAAATTGATGTGGTAAACGGTGTAACGGTCCCATTATACTCCCTGCCGTGTTTTCAAACTTGCATGTGAAAACAACGCCTGATCCAAACACAAAAAATGCAATCAACTTAAATGATATTATTTTATGTATCAAGCAATGGCTTGCAAGTGCAAAAGGTTTGCCACAATCGATGCTGTCGATACAGCCCCATTTATCAGAGTGTCCTGATTCTGCAATTCTGCAGCCTGGTGTTTCTTCATAGCTTTGCAGAGCTGACATTTGGCAGCAGGTAACCCAAGACTGAAGTGCCTGAAAACCCCATAAGTGGCATTTTTCCTGGGGCACTCATCTGTGGAGCTGCAAACGCTGACCCTACAGATTCTAAGCAGTGCTGTGAACAGATTTCTCCCCTTTCATTCTGAAACCGTGCCAGACCTTAGTGGGTTTTCTCCAGCTCATCGTGATCGATCCGACAGTTTATAGGACAGATTCGAATAAAATCACTCCATTCACGGGCTTTGGAAACTTCCTTCTGGAAGAGCTTCAGTCCTACACGTGTGTACTGGGAGTGGTGGATATACATGTCAAATTAAAATATTAAATGTGTGGATTAATATGGTAAACGTGGGGATAAGACTGGTGAAGCAGGTTATTCATTAAAGTTTTACAATCCCCGAGACTATTTAAGAGAACAAGAGTGGGATTGGGTGAATATGGAATAAGGAGAAAATGGATGGAATCGGTTTAAAATATCCTGCTTGATGCGCAGCTCATGTCACCAGTCAATCCAAGGCAAGAAAGCAGAGGCCCAAACAGCTTAATAAAGGATCAACTAAGGAACAGATACAAAGAAAGGAAGCACTTGCCAAAATGATTTGAAACGCACAGGTTAAAATGGATATTGCAAAGACTAAGAGACTGAAAATAAAACCACAAAAGAGGCTTGTTTTGCCCCCCGCAACAGCAAAAGAACAGTAAATGGACAAAAGAAAAATGCTTTGGAAGTGAAGATGGTCAACTTTTCAGAAGATAAAATAATATTGGAGGTGTTTATTAGGACAGATTCAGTGGCAGCTGAGGAAAGGAGAGCCCGTGTTAATACTAACACGGAACAGGCAGAGGTCTTACAGATAACACAACTGCTTAGGACAAAGAAAACGCCAGGGCCTGATGGGTTTCAGCCTGTACTTAAGTAAACTTACTCATTCAAATATTAGAACTCTTCCAACAGTCACTTAAGGCACAGATAATACCCTGTGGAAAAATCTCATGTAGTGCCCATCATTAAGAAGGTTACAACCGTGAACCACAATACCACAGACCAATACATCTATACTGTATTATGTGACATGAGGGAATCACTGGTATGGCATTAACGTGCTAGGGGATAGTCCGAATGGATTTAGAAAAGGTTGGTCGTTCTAGAGGGTTCTGGACAAACAAAAGCAAAAAATGGGAAAGGTACAAAACAGTAATTAATTTTAATTTTTAGCAGTCTTTTGCTACAATTCCTCATTAAATATAAAAAAAACAGTACAGAGCGGGTGAAAGCTTTGACTGGAGTTGTATGAACGTTGGAGTACATCAATCTGTATCAAGCCGACTGCTCTTATTTATAGCAATCAGGATTCTGATATAGTAAGTGGTCAAGAGTTAAACAGGAGGAGTACAAAACACTGTAACAGATGCTTAGGATAGTCAAAAAGGCTCAACCTAGTCCATGTGTCATCAATTTATCAGTTATTAATACAAAGGCACATAAAACATTGAGACAGTTAATAACACAAAGTTTTAATTGAATACTCGGATGTTAAAACTGTACAACACACCTCATTAAGGGCAGTGTACAATCTGATGATGTTTCAAAAAGCATTCAAATTCCTCTGGACGGGCTCCAGACAGGAACAACTAAGCACATTCCACAGCTCAAAGGAATGGCCTCCACGGACAGGCCATAAAAGGGAACCTTTGTAGTCCCGAACAGAGAAGGAAAGTACATTCAATCAAGACTGAGAAAGTGGCACTTTACACAAAGAGTGGCAGGAGTATGGAATAAGCCGTCGGGCCACGATATTCAAGTCGATACCCTGGCTTCTTTCAGGAAGTGGTTAAATGAGTGCCTCAGACCAACCAGCAATTTAACGAGCTAGATGACACCCCCTTGTCAGTGACCTTTCCTTATCATTCTAGCTATGATGGGGGGGGTACCATCAGAGTTCAGCACATTCAGTACTGTCAGTGTGCAGAACTGCTGATCACAGCAAGCAGGAGCGCAGCTGCTCCAGATTCGACACCCTCTGGAGAAACGCCTCCCCTGCTCACATCCCAGCACCTCCGCGCCTCAGGGGGATCGGTCCAGAAAACTAATTCCGCTTCATCTGGGACACCACCGAGCTAAAAAAAAAACCTCCACTCACGGCCGCGGATAGCAGTGGGGTGTCGTGTGCTAAATTCCTGGCAATTAAAAGACATCAGAGGGCACACAGGCTTCTTAAGGAGTGCCTGAGGCTGAATGCAGTCTGTGTGCCACGAGTAGCGCTGAAGGAGTTAAAAGAGGGAGCTGGCAGGGGCCCAGGGGG